AAAAAAAAAGAGTTTCTTTTTGTTTTATTTTTAGGAGTCCAAAATGTTCAAAATGTGTTCATCACATAAATAAAATGGAGATTTCTCTGTAGACCTTCATGGATTTCAAGAGCAACACACTACAGTTTCTTATACAAAGCATAAGGTAAAGAACAATCTACATACGCACAGTGTTATCTTCATTTTAGATGTCATAAAGTATTTGTGGTGTTTTTTCCATGGAAACTGGCTCCAAATGTGTCTGTGGGTTAAAGGCGGCTGTTCTAAACAACTCTTCACTTTCATGTTGTGCGTGTAGCAGCGTGTAGCAGCGTGTAACTCCTCTCAAACGATCTGGTGCCAGTTTGTCGTCGTGCTCACCAGCATCACTCATAATGAGACTGTCCCATATTTGGGATCTGACCAATTCTGAATTCTGCTGTGAGACTAAAGAACAGACGTGATGAGGAGAACCATCATCAGGTAAAAAAGAGCTCTGCAGTCCCGCTGTTGGAATTACAGCAGCGTGCTAGCATGCTCAAACCATTGTGTCAAAGTACAGCGAGTACAGTCCTCTTTACAAATACAGATATACAGAGCGCACAACCAGGAATTTCATGTGAAGAAAGTGGTGACCTCGTGGTGCATGAAGAAATCAGGAACCAGCATCACTGCGACACCACGCTACAGTCTTAGTGCTGCTGATGGGCTGACGGCTATCAGGGACTAAACACTTTAAGGCTGTGCCAGCTGTGATGACAGTGTCACTTTTTGATGAAGGGGCAAATTTCTTGACTGCTTTGTTCAGCGCCCCGCAGCTGAGAAACAAACTCTCGGCAGGATTAGTAAAAGTTTGATGAATCGCTGAATTGGTTTCACCCTAAATCAAAAATTTCACTCATTTCACTTCATTTTGAATTTTCTTTCCTCTTTGAAACAGTTTTTTGTCCCATATTAATCTTTGTACCCTCTCACACACAAACAGCCTGATGTGGTTCCAGTATGAACGAATCATCGTGTGAATAATCTCCCCTCTCTGCTGTTTCAGGTCGTCTTAAAAAGGACACATTTATTTATCTTTTTGTTGAATCTGCTGTTGTATTTGTGTACTTGTAGTGTTGTAACATGTTTCTATTTGTGTTTTAGGTCACCTTCAAAATAAGATGCTTTTTTTCAGGAGACCACCTCGTCAGTGATGAAGCCTCGCGATGTTCGCTTACTTTATGACTCTGCTGATTAGACTGGTGTAATATTTCTAAGCCAAATTCTACATTTATTATCAGAGAAGCATAAATGTGATCACAAAATGAAAAAACAAACCATTGTTAGTCTTCCACAGGCTAATAATCGACTCACTCTGCTGTTTATTTCCGATAAGGAAACTAAAGCATAGCATCGATATTACTTCAAGCCACGCTTTCTGCGAGCACCAGTGCTTCTGTGTTACCGCTGACGGTGTCTTGCTTCCATTTGGACTGACTGCAGTGAGTTTGAAGACTCAATAAAAGCCCAGCAGGCAGGAGAAGAGGCGCTAAACAAAAGGACTTACAGATGAGAAAGTGGTGCAGCCTGAGAACCACAGCCTGCTTCTCCTGCATGTTTCTTCATATTTTTTAAACACACTTCCTGCATCATTCACAGTTTAACGCTTGTTGTTTCGCAGCCGCTTCTATAGAAAGTAAACAGGCCTGAGTGTGGTCGGCTGGGTAAACAGGGGTTAAACATTTGCGCAGTAGAAGTGCGGAGCGGCTGATGTGCTCGGCACCAGCAGAAAAGTTGTGTGGAGACACAGGAAATTGTTCTCCAACAGAAAGCAATTAATCCTGTTTCGAGGTCCTCTTTGTAGTACACTTAATCTTAGCTGGAGGACAGATGATTGAAAACTGCAGAGGCATTGTGTGTGTGTGTGTGTGTGTCTTCTATCTGAAGACGTGTGTGTGTTGCTGCTGTATGGCAGTGATGGAGGGAAGCAGGCTGCTATAAACAGTTACAAAAACATGAAGTGTTCATATGTATACCTGGTCCTCCTCTCCACCTCCCTCCTCATCATATTTCAGGATGTTGTCTCGTACGTCGTCCTCCGGGTCGATGAGGAGCTGCTTGGCCTGGCGTTCCTTATCCCTCCTCTTCATCCACATCACAAACAGCAGCACCAGCACTGCAACGCAAGAGTGACGCAAGCAGACGCATGAAGACCTCAGTGAACACTGGTGAGTTTCCATAAAGGGCTTCAGAGACCACCAACTGTTTCATGTTTAGCTCAGACTGAAAGAACAAATCTACCAATCAGAGGCTCCGTTACAAACCCCCTATTGACTCACAGTAGGAAAGAAATCCACTGACATACTGAGCCATCCCATAGTCACAGATATATAAGATATGGTTCTGTCAGATATCTAAGCTGGAGTGGTCCCAGTATGATGTTACACTGGGACCCAGTATTGTCAAAAACATCTCACTGCCCTAAAACACAGCAATGAAGTCATTTTGCTTTAGTTAGCAGCTGCATGTTTGTGACGAGACCTTCAGCAACCCTCCGTCTTCCTTCGAAAGCATCAGCAGACATTTGTTAAACCTTCTACTACGTCCTGCAGACCACACGCTGCCGCGCTCACATGACATGCATGTCAGTTATGCCAGCAGTGATGTGTAAACATGTAAATATGTAAATATGCCTTTGGTTTCAATTCCTCTCTTTGTTTTCTTTGAATCTGCAGATTTGTTCCCACTTTTCTCTGCGTCTGCTGTGGCAGTGAAACATCTCACATGGAGTTTGTATAATATGATTATGTTTCCACTGTTTATGTCTGTCACCTTCAGTTCTCTTCAAACTGGATATAAACATGCAGTCCATAAAGCAGCTGCTGCACGATGTTCGTTTGAATTGAAGCTGCCACCGAAATGTGGAAGTTTGCACAAACAGCAGAGACGCGTGGCTGTCCCATCAAATCAAACGCTGCACTTTCTCCTGATTTACAGTTTCACATCTGTCTTTTTATAGACTGCTTCACTGTTTTAACCACGAGGCAGTTCTCCAGGAGACCGACTTCATCTCTGATGCAAGATTTGAATCACCACTGCAAAGCCCTGTTATCTCCTCAAGTACCTTGTACACAGTCACAGTTCAACACAAAATAGCTGCATGTTTCATTCTTTAACATACTTGCTCCCCTACGCTGGGATTTCAGCTTATTTTGAGACAGCTGGTGGGTTTTAAAAGTCAGTGTGAATCTCTCTGTCTTACTGATCACATTAATCTGGAGGGATTTATGAGACAGCTCAGGGTGCGCCTGTATTCATGAACCTGCACCAAAGTACCTGCACAGGCCAAATACACGCTGAGGGAAATTCTAAATGACGATTGAAACCCCAGAGAGCCGATAATGTCTCCATTAGTAACATTTCTCAGTATAACCATCAGCAAAAGCCTTTCAACAGGACACCAGACAACACATCCAGTCTATTTAGGGTGCAAATCACTGCTGCTCCACAATTTACATCATTCCATAATGTGGGAATGTTCCTCAGTCTGAGGCCTAGACTTCCCATCTGGAGGTGTTCAGGTCCGGGAGCTGGTAGATGTGAAGACACATGCAGCTTTTCAACTTTCTCTGAAAAACAGATCAAACTAAGGAGAATACGTCACACACTGGAAATGCTGCGAATTACCTTCACCAAGGTCGCAAAATATGGAGTTCTGAATTTGGCCAAAAAAAGATAAAACATGGCCGTTTCCATATAAACAGAAAATCATGGGGCCCAGCTTTTCTTAAAGCCTGACTCTATTCAGAATACAAGAGACATTGATGATTTTAGTTTATTATAACCCTGCTGGTTATAAAGTGTTGGTACCCAGTCATATACAAAGTGTTCAGACCAAAGGACGCATTTCAAGAACTGTAAATTTAGGTCAAAGTAACGAGAAATATCTCAAAATAACTAATTTGTTTTTTATATAAATAAATAAATGTTTATAAACAGGTGACCTAACTGTACATGACCCCTGCAGTACCGTCACGGCCCACCAGGGGTGCCCGGCCCACACTATAGCACACATTATATCCTGATA